CAGAGAATAATATAAACCCCTCTACACAAATAAACTAGAAAATCTACAAGAAATGAATAAATTCCTAGACACATACACCTTCCCAAGACTAAACCAGGAAGAAGTTGAATCTCTGAATAGACTGATAACAGGTTCTGAAATTGAGGCAATAATTAATAGCCTACCAATCAAAAAAAGTCCAGGACCAGATGGATTCACAGCCAAATTCTACCAGAGGTATAAAGAGGAGCTGGTACTATTCCTTCTGAAACTATTCCAATCAATAGAAAAAGAGAGAATCCTCCCTAACTCATTTTATGAGGCCAGCATTATCCTGATACCACAGCCTGGCAGAGACACAACAAAAAAAAGAAAATTTTAGGCCAATATCCCTGATGAACAGTGATGTGAAAATCCTCAATAAAATACTGACAAACCAAATCCAGCAGCACAGCAAAAAGCTTATCCACCACGATCAAGTCAGCTTCATCCCTGGGATGCTAGGCTGGTTCAACATATGAAAATCAATAAACGTAATCCATCACATAAACAGAATCAATGACAAAAACCACATGATTATCTCAATAGATGCAGAAAACGCCTTTGACAAAATTCAACAGATCTTCAATGCTAAAAACTCTCAATAAACTTGGTATTGATGGAACATATCTCAAAATAATTAGAGCTATTAATGACAAACCCACAGCCAATATCATACTTAATGGGCAAAAACTGGAAGCATTCCCTATGAAAACCGCCATGAGACAAGGATGCCCTCTCTCACCACTCCTATTCAACATAGTGCTGGAAGTTCTGACCAGGGCAGTCAGGCAAGAGAAAGAAATAAAGGGTGTTCAATTAGGAAAAGAGGAAGTCAAATTGTCCCTGTTTGCAGATGACATGATTGTATATTTAGGAAACCTCATTGTCTCAGCCCAAAATCTCCTTAAGCTGATAAGCAACTTCAGCAAAGTTTCAGGATACAAAATCAATGAGCAAAAATCACAAGCATTCCTATACACCAATAACAGACAAACAGCCAAATCATGAGTGAACTCCCATTCACAATTGCTTCAAGGAGAATAAAATACCTAGGAATACAACTTACAAGGGATGTGAAGGACCTCTTCGAGGAGAACTACAAACCACTCCTCAACAAAATAAAAGAGGACACAAACAAATGGAAGAACACTCCAAAGAATCAATATCGTGAAAATGGCCATACTGCCCAAGGTAATTTATAGATTCAATGCCATCCCTATCAAGCTACTTTCTTCCAGAATTGGAAAAAGCTACTTTAAAGTTCATATGGAGCCCCAAAAGAGCCCGCATTGCCGAGACAATCCTAAGCCAAAAGAACAAAGCTGGAGGTATCACGCTACCTGACTTCAAACTATACTACAAGGCTACAGTAACCAAAACAGCATGGTACTGGTACCAAAACAGAGATATAGACCAATGAAACAGAACAGAGTCCTCAGAAATAACACCACACATCTACAACCATCTGATCTTTGACAAACCTGACAAAAACACGCAATGGCGAAAGGATTCCCTATTTAATAAATGGTACTGGGAAAACTGGCTAGCCATATGTACAAAGCTGAAACTGGATCCCTTCCTTACACCCTGTACAGAAATTAACTCAAAGTGGATTAAAGACTTAAATATTAGACATAAAAACCCTAGAAGAAAACCTAGGCAATACCATTCAGGACACAGGCATGGGCAAAGACACCAAAAGCAATGGCAACAAAAGCCAAAATAGACAAATGGGATCTAATTAAACTAAACAGCTTCTGCACAGCAAAAGAAACTGTCATCAGAGTGAACAGGCAACCTACAGAACAGGAGAAAATTTTTGCAATGTACCCATCTAACAAAGGGCTAATATCCAGAATCTACAAAGAACTTAAACAAATTTACAAGAAAAGAACAAACAACCCCATCAAAAAGTGGTCAAAGGTTATGAACAGACACTTCTCAAAAGAAGACATTTATGCAGCCAACAGACATATGAAAAAAAAAGGTCATCATCACTGGTCATCAGAGAAATGCATATCAAAACCATAATGAGATACTATCTCACACCAGTTAGAATGGCGATCATTAAAAAGTCAGGAAAAACAGATGATGGAGAGGATATGGAGAAATAGGAATGCTTTTACACTGTTGGTGGGAGTGTAAATTAGTTCAACCATTGTGGATAACAACGTGGCAATTCCTCAAGGATCTAGAGCTAGAAATACCATTTGACCCAGTGATCCCATTACTGGGTATATACCCAAAGGAATATAAATCATGCTACTATAAAGACACATGCACATTTATGTTTATTGCGGCACTATTCACAATAGCAAAGATTTGGAACGAACCGAAATCTTCATCAATGATAGACTGGATAAACAAAATGTGGCAGATATACACCATGGAGCCTTAAAAAAGGATGAGTTCATGTCCTTTGCATGGACGTGGATCAAGCTGGAAACCATCATTCTCAGCAAACTATCACAAGGACAGAAAAGGAAACACTGCATGTTCTCACTCATAAGTGGGAGCTGAATAATGAGAACACATGGACACAGGGCGGGGAACATCACACACCAGGGCCTGTCGAGGGGTAGGGGGCTGGGGGAGGGATAATAATATTAGGAGAAATACCTAATGTAAATGATGAGTTGATGGGTGCAGCAAAACAAAATGGCACATGTATACCTATGTAACAAACCTGCACGTTGTGCTCATGTACCCTAGAACTTCAAGTATGAAAAAAAAAAAAAAAAAAAGGGAGATACTTCCTCTCTGCCATGTGAAGACACATCAAGAAGGTGGCTGTCAACAAGCCTGGAAGTGGGCCCTCGCCAGACACCAGATTAGCTGGCACCTTGATCTTGGACTTCCCAGCCTTCTGAACTGTGAGAGATAAATATTTGTTGTTTAAGTCACCCAGTCTGTAGTATTTCTGTTATAGAAGGCTAAGCTAAGACAAACATCAAGAGCTATACGAATACATCTTTTCTTTTTCTTCCAACATCCAGAGCTATACAAATACATGTGGTCATGTCATCTGAAGTCTACAATACTCTGTATTTTTCACGTGAAAATGACACTTGTTACCTAATGGCATTTTGGTTTATCTTTCAGTATGTTGAGATTGTTTCTTTAAAGGGAAATAGAAAACCATAAAAGCTGTAGTAGGACTTACCTTCTTTCATAATCTCTCTTCATATATATATATATACACACACACACACACACACACACACGAAACTCTTAAAGTATATTCTATTATTGCTGTGTATTTGTAACCTGTTTTATTGTTCCCAGCCATGCTATTACTGTTCTATACAGATTTAGCATTTATGCTTCAAGTCCATTGAATTTTACATTCCTTCATTGCATTAAAAACAGAGGTGATTACAAAGAAAAATGTAGCAACAGTAATGCTTCATATTTCCTTTATCTTGTTCGTGTCCGTGAAGTAATTAGTACTAACAAAAAAGCGCTAATTTTTGGCACATATAGTTTAGGTTTGTAAATTGCACATTCCATGTACCTTCATTGTGTTGAAACAGACAGACATTATAAAGGTGAATGTAAAAACAGTAAAGCTATAGCTTTTTTTTTTTTTTTTTTCAAAAAATTGTAGAATTTTAGAGTGTTTACATAACTGGAAATACTTAAATATTTTTATTTATAAAATCCTTGAGTTTTCAAAACCAGTACAACTGAGCTGCCTTTGAGTCGTTTGTATCTGGAATATAGCACTTCCCTTTCCCTTATTTTGTGTAGTTGCTGAGGAAATGGGTTTTCAGTATACATGATTCAAGTGAGGAAAAAACTGCATATTTAATTCCAACATATTCCTTAGACTGGAAAAAAAAATCTCTTTTGGAATAGTCATGTTTATTTTATAGTAACTCTACAGCAGGACAATTTAGCATGTTATGCAGAAATGCAAACAGCTTTATCGAACAAAATACTTACTATTTTCTAGCTGCCTTACCAAAATTATTTACTCAAGGAAACAGAACAGAATTTCTTGATTTCATTAATCAGCTTTGTAAATATTTTGCCAGAGCTTTTTTTCTTGGTGGGGGGGAAGCAAATAAAAAAGTTTAAAAGCTCATATGTGTCTATTTTGTTTTAGCTTGGAGTATTTATTAAGAGTAAATTCTGTGTGTCTTTGCAGTTCATCAATATGTGTATTTAGAAGTTTTTCAAGTTCTTTTGCTCGTTTCTCTTCTTCCAGAAGGAAATGCTGTGCGGCCAAAGATGCTGGGAAAGACATATCTGGGGGAGACTAAAGAGAGAAAGAAAGAAAAGTGAATGAGGAATACAGAGCTTTTAAACATCTTCACATTTCCAGGCATGCTTCATCCCTGACATACTGTCAAACACTGCAGCTCTTAATTAAAGAACACATCTTGGGCTGAATTCCTACTACTAGTGTAATTCAGTTACCAGTAATGAAATCTTCAAGGAACTAAGTAAGACATCACAGCACCATTACATTAAAAAGCTCTAGAAATGAGTATTAGATTGTCCAACCGCAAATGCAGGGACAATGCACTCACCATGGAACCTGCCTAAAACATGCTGCAATCATTTGCAAAGCCAGTGATTTTCATTTGAAAATAGGCAACTCAAAAAGTGAAAGTAAAGATTATAGTGGAATTGCACCAGAAGGTTTATATAGAAAATAAGGATTGGCTTTGACAGGGCGAATCAATGCTTGGAGTTAGCCAGGTGAGAAGGCTGGCTGCATGATGTGTCTTGGGGTGGAGGTGGCTCCCTAGTAGGGAGGGCTGTGATGCTGGCATGTATCTTGTTTGTCTCATCATAGAGAAGAAAGTATCAGGGATGAGTGCCCCAATTCCAGCCTTCATGGTGACATGAAAATGCTATTTAACTGTTTGTGACCTGTTTAGTGCTTAGTTACAAAAAGTAAAAATAAAAATCTGTAGCTAAGGAATAAAGGACAACATCAGATAATTTTACAATTCTTCATTTTAAAAAGCCACCTACAAAAATTAAGTAATTTTTTTTTTAGTTGGGGAAATTTGTACTTTAATTTTCCAGTTCTGTGGTTACTATATTCTTCTTTGACTTTCATTTTGGTAGGAAAAATGGGACTTTATGTAGTGTTTGGGGAGTTGACAATCTGTATACATGTGAACCTTGTTATAGGTGGATTTTGTTTACCAATCTGGCCCCTGCCAAAACTAGGGATCATGCAAATGATGGAGTACTGCACACTTTTCCAACTAGTAGCCCCCAACTGTAGCTGCTGTGTCAGGGATAGTATCTCTGCTAGAGAAGACTGTCACAGCCTGAGGTAGATGGTATGCTACTATTGATCTGGCAAATGGTTTCTTTTTAATATCAGCAAATGCATTCTTTTTAATATCTAATAAAAAGGAGGATAGGAAGCAGTTAGCATTCACATGGGGTGGCCAACAGTATTTATCCATGGTTTTGCCCCAATGTTATATTAATGAAGCTGTCACAATAAATTCTGAAGGGGCCTAGCCCATCTGGACATTCCAAAGACTATCACATGGAACATCATATATTAACACTAACATCATGTTAATGAGACTTGATGAGCAAGAAGTAGCAAGTATATTAAAGGGATGGAAAGATGCAAGTACGCCAGAGGGTGAAAGATAAACCCTGTAAAAGATTGGGGCTTGTCACGTTGTTTTTAGGTGTCTGCTGCTATGGGGCATGTCAGAACATCCTAGGTAAAGCAAAAATTAATGCACCTTGAAAATGTTCCACCCTTGGATCAAATAATTGAATAATCAGATTCATTTATTGGGCAACACAGAAAACAATTTTTTTTGAGCAAGCCCAGAACTCTAGAAAGAAAGAGCTGTGTAGTAGGTTCAGGATAGGGTACAAGCAGTCCTGCTACTTTGGTCAAATGACTTGGTAGATCCCATACTGGAAGAATCTCTGGTAGAGGAAAATGCGTTGTGGAGCCTCTGGAAAGTTTCATTGGGAAAGCTGTATCACAGACCCTTAAGATTTTGAAACAAGACTATGCCATCTGTAGCCGAAACCTATATACTATTTGCAAGACAATTCTCGTCATGCTGTTGAGTCCTGGTTGAGACAGAGCATCCAGCAAGTAGGATGATTTAATCCATCCTCTGTCTTTGGCTACCTCAGTGGGAATTATGCATCATACCAATACCATGGTTTCCCCTTTCACTAAGGGTAATCCAGCGACCATTGCTGTTGAATGTCTGACCTGCTTGCAACAGAAACTAAAGCTGAGCTCTTGATATGGCATCATCCCTCAAGGAGACCAGCTAGCCTCTTGGTGGCAACTTGACTGCATTAGGTCCCTAGTACCTTGGAAATGGCCATGCTGTATCCTTATCAGAATGGATATGAATTCTGCATGTTTGCCTTTCCTGGCTGCACCACTATCTTACGGCTCACAGAATCACTTACCTGCAGACATGAGAGAGACCCTGCTTAATAGTAGAGATACCTACTTTATAGCAAAAGAGTATGGCAGTACGGGCATGACCATGGTATCCACTGGTCCTAATCACACACAGCACTATCCAGAGGATGCTAGCATGATAGAGCTTTGGGATGGCCTCTTGATGGCAAAGCTGAGGCACCATCTTGGAGATTATATCCTGTGAGGTTGGGGTGCCATTCTTCAGGATGTGGTATACACTTTAAACCAATGGCTGTTTTATGGTTCTGTGTTTCCAACGGGTAGAATACATGGATCTGGGAATAAAAGGGAGGAGGCAGGAATGGCTCCACTCTCTATCACTTCTGTTAACCCACTTGGATAATCTGTGCTTTCTGTCTATGTATCTTTAGGCTTTGTTGTTCTACAGGTCCTGGGTCTTAGAGGCAGAATGCTTCTACCAAAAGACCTGTAAGAGTCCCACCAAACTTAAGAGCTTTGGCTTCCATGTGGTCACTTTGGGCTCCTCATGCCAACATATCAGATACACAGAGTGGTGTTCCTATACTGGCAGAGGTAGCTGACCCTAAGTCATCCTGAAGAGGTAAGAATGCTACTGTATAACAGAGGCAGTGAGGAATGTGTTTGGTACTCTAATGAGCCTCTGAGGCATCTTTTTGTTACTCTCATGCCCAGTTTTAATTTTAATTGGCAAATACAGAAACCATATCCTAATAAGGGCATGGACATTAGGGGCTCACCTCAAAAGAAAAGCCACTTGGATCAACTGAAGAGTTAGCTGATGGGGAGAGGAATCTAGAAGGGGTGAGGCAATGATAGGTGTCAGCGACCAATTGCAGCATCAGGGGCTGTGGCTTATCTCACTAACTTTCCTCTAAACAGTTTTTTCAGAAATTATGACCAGTAAGAATCATAAAGAAGCTATGCCTGAATGGAAGCTATGGAAGAAGCTGGTTCTGAGTGGTGCAACCATGGTGGTTGGTGCCCTACCTGGATCCCCTTCCCAGGCTGATGCATCTCTCCTCCAGCTGGGTGGGTGTTGGCTACTAACAGCTCACAGCTGGCTCCTTTGGGGAACTGCTCTCCACTGAACTGGAGGCTCCTGCCTCACTTGGGAAGCTGCAGTCCCTCCTCTGCCCATTCGCTACCCTCTCTGAGGCAATGATTGATTGATGGACACAGGGGCATAAAATACCAGACTTGTTGTTCGGTGAGAACCAATGCTGTGGTGCAATTTAGGTGCCAAGCTTCCTGGGACACCAGGCTATACTAGTTTGTAGCTGAGACCACATCTTTGCTTAATTTTTCTCCCCCCCCACCCCATAGCCTGTCTCCTTCACTCTCCCCCTGAAAACACTAAAATACTCCCTCAGTAAGTCACTTTCACAAGAATCTCATCTTAGGTTCTAGAAAACCTGATCTCAGACAGATGACTTCCTAGGTTCTGGCCTGAGTGATTAGTGACACTCATGCCATTTACTGAGAAAGAGAAAAAGGTAAAAGAAGCCATTAAGAGTAAGATCTTCCTTCTTTTATTTATTTATTTATTTTGAGACAGTGTCTTGCTCTATTGCCCAGGATGGAACACAGTGGTACAACTACAGCTAACCCTTAACTTCCAATTCCTGGGCTCAAGTGATCCTCCCACTTCAGCTTCCCCAGTAGGTGGGACTACAGGGACGCACCACCACACCCGGCTTTTTTTAAAAAAAGTTTTTGTAGAAACGGAGCCTGGCTCTGTTGCCCGGACTGGTCTTGAACTCTTGGGCTCAAGCAATCCTTCCTGCCTTGGCCTGAGATTATAGGTGTGAGCCACAGCTCCAGGCCTCTTATTTATTTCTGATTCACCAGGTTCTAGCACAGATTCTAGGTCAGTGTGTTTTCAATAAAATTTTTTAGTTAGTTTATGAGTGAAGAAAATGGATTCAATTTTGAATAATAATGAGTTTGAGGTGACATGAGACTTAAAAAGACTCAAGCAAACAGTGAGATATGTCAGTCTAGGACTCAGAATACAGATCTGAATCAGAGAGACAGACTTGGAAGTTATAGATGACAGGCCATAAGATTGAAATTATCCAAGATAGGCAAGTAAAAGGAAAAAAAGAAGTTAAAAGATGGAGCCCTGGGGAATCCTTCATCTCAGGCATCCACCCGCATAGCATGTCCTTGACACTATCATCAATGAGAACTGCATTATTTACTAATTGAGATTTAAAGCAACCTATCCATCATCCTTCCAGCATGCTTAATCTAGTACTCCCACATCAGAAGTTCTCTGACCTCATTTAGACTCTTTCCTTTTCACTATCCATCATCTTCCTCATACTCTCTCTTCCCTTGTGACTCTGCTTATTCCCATCCATCTCATAACCATTCAGCAACTTGTCCCTCCCTGTATCTTGTCTCTATCCTGATAACCCAGTAAAACCCACCCCTAATTAAGTTGAGCCATCTGCCTGGGTCATGCCTACACCTGAGCAGCTGAATGCTGGGGCCAACAGGTTGGGGGTAAATTACTGCATGGACTAGTTTTACTTTAAATTCATGACCATAAGTACCATGTGGTCAGTGAACACTACGAGGCGATTCTATTGCACTTCCCTGGTATGTTCACTTTCTTACTCATTACCTTGTGACCTGGCCTCCTCCCAGGGGTCACAGGGGAGCTCTCTCATTATTTCACATCCATTTGTATCTGTAGCTGAATTTTAGGCCATCCTCCTGTTTCAGAAACTCATCCTTCCTCCTATACTGTGGATCCTATTTCTTCTTACCTCTCAGTGACTTTGTTTCTGCAAATGAAAGAGGACCCTCCTTGAGCCCCATCCTCTTCATTATCAAACTTTCCTCCTTTCCTTCGGGATTCCTATTAGGTCACTCAATATTATGACCCAAGGCTTTGTATTGGAATGATTTCTTCTTTATACTTAAGTATTTTCATCCAGTAGTACAGACTTAAATACCAATCACATGCTGATTATTCCCATATTTATATTTCCAGCTGTGATCTCGCCCTTGATATCAGATTCACATATCACATATTGACTATTTAATGTCTATGTTTGGGTGTCTAGTAAACATTTTAAACTTATATATCCAACCTAGAAATCAAGATTTCTCCTCTAAACCTATTTCTTCCCTGGTCTTCCCATGTCAGAAAGTGGTGTTAGCGTCTACTCAATGCTCAGGTTGAAATCCTAGGAGTCGTCTTTGATCACTCTTTTCTCCCACTTCCCATATACAATTCATTGTCAAGTCTGGTCTACACACCAGAATATTTCCTGGATCTAATATGTTGCTCTACCTCACTGCTACCAAGCCAGCATTATCTCTTGCCTAGGCTACTGCAATAGCCTTATGATAGTTGTCTCCTCTTCTACCCTTGCCCCTCTATAATTTATTCTTTATTTAGCAGTAAAAATGATCTTTTTAAAAATTTAAACATGTCTGTTTATTATTAGAGTAAAATAATTTTGAATGGAGTAAACAGACCAGTATTTTCCTAATTGAAACTTTACAATGGCTTCCCATTGTTTTAAAATAAAATCCAAACTCCTTTCCATGACTTAGTGTCCTCATATACTGGACTTCCCCTGACGACTTCTCTGTTCCCTTTTGTTCCAGTCTCCCTCTTCCCTTCTAAGCTCCAGAAAGCCCCCCAGTCTTTCTGGTTCTCATACCTGCCAAACTCATTCCTGCCTTATAGTTCCCTTACTTGAAACTCTCTTCTACCAGATCTTTGCAAGACTGGATTTGTTATTGTTTGGGTTTCACCTTAAATTTCCCTTTCTCAATGATAATTTTCCTGGCTACTCAACCTAAAATAATCCCCCATACTTTCATCACTCCCTATCACATTACCTGCTTTTCTTTTCATCACAGCATTTATTACTATTTGATATTTTCTTTTTCTTTTTTTTTTGGACGGGGTGGATAGCATTTTGCTCTGTTGCCCAGGCTGGAGTGCAGTGATCCTATCTCGGTTCACTGCAACCTCTGCTTCCCAGGTTCAAGTGATTCTCTTGCCTCAGCTTCTGGAGTAGCTGGGACTAGAGGCATGCGCCACCATGCCCAGCTAATTTTTGTATTTTTAGTAGAGACAGTGCTTCACCATGTTGGCCAGGCTGGTCTTGAACTCCTGACCTCAGGTGATCTGACCGCCTCGGCCTCCCAAAGTGCTGGGATTATAGGCGTGAGCCACGGCGCCTGGTCTTGATATTTTCTTATTTGTTCATTTATTTCCGATCATTAATTTTTCTCCTCTTGTTTTTGAGATAAAATTCACATAAAATTAACCATTTTAAAATGAGCGGTTCAGTGGCACTTAGTACATTCACAATGTTTTGCAGCCACCATTTCTATCTAGTTCCAAAATAGTTTCATTATCCATAAAGAAAACTCTGTGCTCCTTAAGCCACTGCTCCTTGTTTCTCCCTCCCCACCGCCCCTGGTAACCACCAATCTGCATTGTTTCTACGGGTTTCATTTACGTATTCTGGCTATTTAATATACATGGAATTATACAATACCTTCTGCATTTGGCTTCTTTCACTTAGCATGTTTTTGAGGCTCATCCACATTGTAGTAATTTTTGGCCTTTTTTGGCATAGCTGCTTTTAATGGCTGAATAATATTCCATTGTATGTATATACCACAATCTGATTATCCATTCATCCATTGATGAAGTTTCGTCTATTTTTTCACCATACTACTTATGTATCTATCTTATTCAAAGACATGTTTAGAACAGGAGCTGCCATATAGTTGGTATTCAATACATGTTTATTTTATTTTATGAATAAATAACACTAATATTTAAGGGACAGAAATAGGAGGGAGAACCCCAGAAACAGGCTGGGAAACAGTAGTCAGAGGGTGACATGAGAATCAGTGGAGTATAGTGTCATAGAAGCCACAGAATATAAGAGTCTCAAGACAAAAACATTAAGAAAGATGAATACTTCAAAATGTGCATTTAATTTGCAACTAGAAGATCAGCAGTGGTCTTGATAGGAATGGTAGTGATGTGGATGTCAAAATGCAGTAGTAGATGGAAACCACTACACCTAGAACAGTGGTTTCCCATAGGATTTTAAGGCCTCCATCACAGATTAAGTTCCCCAGGCCCAGTTCTTAGAAGAGTTGAGAATTTTCTTTCCTGGTTACTCTGGAGGTTAGGAATTCCTCAAAAGATTAATGTAGAATTTTAGAGATAGAAGGAAGCCCCGTGTTATTAAATCAAATCAACAGATAGTTCTGCATGTCTTTTATGTGCCTACTAGTGCCGAGCCTATTTTAGGTGTTGGGTTACCACAAGAACAAAAATAGAAAACACCCCCTGCTTTCATGGAGCATACATTCTAACGGAGGGAGGCCAAGCAACAAAATGTCTCATAGTGAAGTGCTATGAGAAAAGGTAAGATGAGGGGCAGGGAGTGAAGAGGGAGGCACTATTGCAGACTGGTTGTTTAGGCATATCTGATAAGGTGATATTTGAGCAGTCAGTAATTGTGATCCTAAAAATCCTGAAATCATCTGATATTAGCACAGTGGAGTATTTAGCAACTTTTTCCATTGCTTGACTGAAATATGTGCTTAAGTCCTTAATGATCAAAGTTTTATTGATGCAGAATTTGCAAAGTCCCCTTAGAATTTCTCATAACTTAAATGAGGAATTTTATTTAGTTTACATTATTGGCATGGATTTTAGTCTGTTCAGATAACATTGGCATTTTATGTTGAGATGAACACAAAAGAGCATTTCAGGGCTTTAGAGATCTCTAATACTTCAAAAGCTAATGGTTTTAAGCATTCTTCTACCAAAATAGCTTAACTTTTACTTCTAGTCTCTACTATTACAAATCAAAACCAACACATAAGCAACAAAGGGCTTATATCAAGAATAGAAAGGATACCCATAAATCAGTAACAATAAAGACAATCCACCAGAAAATTAAGTGAGGAAATTGAACAGATATTGTATAAAGGATATCAAAATGGCCAATAAATGTTGCTCAGTCTCATTATTCACCAGAGAAACATGAATTAAAACCATACAAAAGGATCTTACTACATACTGACCATAATGGCTAAATTTAAAAAGGCTTATATTACCATGTGTTAGACTGTAGAGCAAGGACAACTCTTACACACTACTTGGGGTATTCATTGGCTCCTACAGGAAAACAGTTTGGCGGTACCTACTAAAGCTGACCGTATTCATACCCTCTGACCTAGGTATTCCATTTTAGGTATATATACCCAGTGGAAATGTACATATACATGCACCAAAAGACTCATAAAAGAATTTTTTGGCAGCATTATTTGTAATAGCCCCAAATTGGAAATGACTCAAATGTCTATCCGTAGTAGAATGAATAAACAAATGTTATTGTCATTGAATGTGGTGTTTATATCCCATAGATTACTATAGAGAAACAAAAATAAACCACAGCTGTATAAAACAATATGGGTGATGATGAATCTAAAAAACAAGGTTGAGAAAAGCCAGAAACAAAATAACATATACCATATGATATCGTTTATATAAAATTTGCAAGTTGGCAAAACAAATCGATAATGCTAAAAGTCAGGATAGTGGTTATGTTGGGGGCAAGCAGAAGTAGACGCTGGAAGGGAACATGAGTTGCGGTTCTGGAGTGCTGGGGATGTTCTGCTCATTACTTGGGTGGCAGTTACCTTCCTTTTGTGATAACTCATCAAGTTGTCCATTTATGATTTGTACATGTGTCTGCACGTATGGCAGAGTCAATAGAAAAGATGTTTTAAATCAGTCCAAAAGATCACTGTAGCTCTTTAAAATGTACAGATCCTTGAGGACTCATGAAATATCGAAGGGTGAGTCCCAAACACTTGCATTTTTTAAAAAAACCATCTCCAGTAATTCTGGCCTGCATTAGAGGTTAGTAACCATTGACTGAAACACTTTATGAAATATTATGGATATCTTTTCCTTCTATAGATAGGTATGGCCAAATGACTTACAGACCCATCTTGGAGTCCTATTCAAGGAGTGAGGTTAAAAACAAAGTACTATGTACATCAGTTTATTGACATCAGTGTAAGAGTAAAGCAATAACCCATTAAAGAAAAAAAAAAAAAGCCCACAACCAGCAACTCACCAGTGGGAATACATCATCATCACTAACCAAAGGACTTGTCATTTCTTTGGTTTGAAATGTCAAAGGTGGCAAGGGAGACGTACTTCTATTTGGCTCACAATCATGACTAAGTCTAAAAGAGAAGAAATGGTTGTTGTTGCTATCAAGGACACGTTTATTTATGTAGCTAAGGATTTTAATCTCTCAGATGTCTAAATAGGGGGAAAACACAACAAAATGTTTGGGCTTGTTACCTGGCCATTTCTTTGAATATGACTTTCCTGATGAATAATTTCTATTTCATTTAAAGGACTTAGGATGATTAAAAATGAAGCGGAAAACTTAACAGTTGTTAAAAGTATTTTGTGATCCTTATTGCCTATATTGCTTCCCTTTCTGTGCTATACTTTTGTATGTCTTTGTCATTTATTTTAATAATGTAAAGCAGTTTGAGAAAAATCTCCAAACAGCTAATTACACTGCTGCCCTTGACAGTTCTAAGTAGATACTCTTTTTCTATTCTCTTTTACACTTAACCTCACTGGCTTTCTTAACAGAATTATACTATTTTTTTATGCTAAACAAGTATTTTATTTTATTTATTTATTTTGAGACAGAGTCTTGCTTTGTCACCCAGGTTAGAATGCAGCGGCACGATCTCAGCTCACTGCAACCTCCGCCTCCCAGGTTCAAGAGACTCTCCTGTCTCAGCCTCCCAAGTAGCTGGGACTACAGGTGCCTGCCACCACGCCAGGCTAATTTTCTGTATTTTTAATAGAGACGGGGCTCCACCGTGTTAGCCAGGATGGTCTCGATCTCCTGACCTTGTGATTCACCTACCTAGACCTCCCAAAGTGCTGGGATTACAGGCATGAGTCACTGCACCCAGCCAACAAATCTTTGAATAACTCTAATTTCTATATATTTTGATAATTTAAAACATGCTTTCAATTTACATCATCTCCTAAGCTCCTCCAGTTACTAGCTGTGTGATCTTGAGTGGGTAACTTTATCTCTCTGTGACTTTAATTTTCTCACTTAAAAAAGGGTTATTATGAGAGTTGAATGATTAATATATGTAAAACACTTAGAAAGCAATGCCTGGCACATAGTAAATGTTTAGTAAAGATTAGGTATTATTATTAAACTAATCTGATCTTCAAAATAACCCTAATATGGCGGATACTATCCACAGATGAGGAGACTAAGATTTAAAAGTTCAATTATTCGTCTAATTATTTACTTTTTAAATCAGAATAAATTGCTAGGAAGTGATGTCTTTAGATTTTGGACTCAAATCCAGATTTTCTTGACTTAAAAAACCCCACTATTTCAATGAAAGTCATATAGCATGGAATTAGTTTGTGCTAAAAAATAGGTTAGAAAACGAGAGTGAAAACAATAACATTGAGATTTTGAATTTTGGTTTGATGACTAAGCAAATGAATAATAAAACATATAACCAATTTATCCTAAAGTTTTACAAAAAAGGTCCTAATGGTATGGGCTGTTTGGGATTAAATATATTTCATGAAACTGGGGTTTAGATGTAATAAAATCATCAAAGAGGTCAGGCACGGTGGCTCACACCTGTAGTCCCAGCACTCTGAGAGGCTGAGGCAGGCAGATCCTGAGGTCAGGAGATCGAGACCATCCTGGCTAACATGGTGAAACCCCATCTCTACTAAAAATACAAAAAAATTAGCCTGGTGTGGTGGTGGGTGCCTGTATTCCCAGCTACTTGGGAGGCTGAGGCAGGAGAATGGTGTGAACCTGGGAGATGGAACTTGCAGTGAGCCGAGATTGCGCCGCTACACTCCAGCCTGGGCAACAGAGTGAGACTCTGTCTCAAAAAAAAAAAAAAAAAATCAAAGACCATCAAAACGAAAATCCCTTCAATTTGAAATTATTTATTTTTACTAATGGTTCAAATTCTCCACAGGTATTGATTAGCCCTTTTCAAAGGCTTCATAGTTTAACAGAGTTTAAAAAAATTTTTCACATTATTTTTCTCCAGTCTTATCCAAAGACTGTCTAATTTATATAGACTTGTTTCTTATTATACAAACATTTTCAAAGCTATGCATACAAATAGCAATAAAAGTTAAGTGAGGCATCTGTAAATTAGTACACAGAAACAAACACAACATGTTTTCCATTTTTGCTTATCTTGAGATATATCTTTTTTTTTTTACTCATTCTCCCAAACTATAATTACCATGGAAACAGAACAGCAAATTAAACTGAAATAACATGGTTTATGATGTGCACAATAAGATGAAACATCTCACAATTCAAGTAGAATTATAACATTTGCATAGTACATCTGCATATAATCTTTAGCTGAACCTTTTGAGTGAGGTTACTATCTATACTTCAAAGCACGGTGAAAACAATTAGTAGCGATTCAAGAAATAGATATCTCTCTGTTACCTCACAGAGATTTCAGCAAAGTATTATTTGTGCTAAATTATCTAAATAATCATCTTAATTATCCATTTTGCTTTGGATGTACAGATACAGTTTTATGGTGTTAATTACTAACATTTATATAGGGACATTCTTTTTAGTATAAGATCAATAAAATGTAGAGATTGAAAGGAAAGATGACATTATGAAGTAAAGTACTTTTGTTTTAAATCATCTTTATATCTGACAAGTTCTTCTTCAAGAATACAGCTATTCAAATACTTCATAAAACCACCTTGCATAAAGTGCTATACATATCAATTTAAAAGCTATCTTAAAAATGATTGCGGAAGGCTTTTAATATCCTTTCACAAGCTGATCTGTTCAATGATCTTTTCCACAGGCCTATTACAAGGCTGCTGCATGGTTTCACCAGGACAGCAGGCCCCAGTTGCTTTGCTGGGGAGCAGAACTCTGTCCACTTGAGACTTGAGTCAACGCTTCACAATTTTCAGCTTTGTTGGACATGTACATCCAGTCCTGTCCCTCCATTAATATTCTCCTTGGCCATAGGATAATGTTCTTAGCATGGAGCAAGATTCCTTCTTCACCTTTTTCCAGCCTCACCTTCCAACAGTCCACTAAACTCCCTATTCCGTGAACTGCTCATTATTTCCTGGCCTAGAACTGTCAACCTGCGTTTTGCTACTTATTGAGCAAAACCACGGTACAAACATTCTCAACTTTAGGCTTCTAGATGGCTATTCATTCCTTGACAAGAGATCTTGTGAGTGGTTATTACAAACCTGCTGACTGTGGTTTTTTAGTATTAGAAACTCTTAATTTATTAGCTTGACTTGAAGCTGTTTTAATGATTAATGTTTGACTGCTAAAATCTGTCTAGTACATGATACAACTTTTAAAACCGTAAATTCATTTTTAAACATGTGTCTTATATAGAGATAAAACTCCATTTATTACAACATTGATTTGTCATTAAAATTAGTTACATATTAATAGCTCTGGATACCACTACTCCAAATGAGCTTGTAAATTATCCTGAAACTTCAAAACTCTAACTTTTAAAAACAATATTTAAAACATCCACACCAAATTCAATCACTTCTCACTCATTTTTTTTAAGAAAGTGCTAAGTACCTGTCTTATTGGAAAGCAAATGCTTTAGAAGATCCTAAAACGCTTCACATTTTAAGTGAGTGAACATTAAAAATGTATCACTTTGAACAGGAGTGAAAAACAACAAAACCGAGTTGCTTCAGAGTGAATAAAATATTATTTTAAGAATGTATTATACAAATCTTCCTCAGTTAAAAACAAGAATTGCCTTAAAATTAGACTATGGATCTTAACATTTTGTGGAACATTTTCTTCATATACTTTTATCTAAAAGCTTTTTCCTTCCTCAAATACTTCAACAAGACCTTACTGCATTAGTCATTGATATGTAAAGATAATTTGTATGTTTTTGATTAATTTATGCCTAACAAATCTACATATAGGTTTTTACTATTTCACTTCACTGAGCTGTGCTGTGAGGGAAAGCAAGATGATTTCATTTTTCAGTTGGTAATATTAACAGAGATATCTGCTTTGCAGTTCTTCACTGGTGAATTCACAATGTCCTTGTATCTTAACAACTCTTCCCCATAGTAGGTTTTACATGGTAATAATTTATTCAGAACATTTGAAATGCTATTTCTTTTAAAAAACAGGTCACTGGAGAACACTGAAATCAGACAAGGCATTAAAACAAATTTAATGAAACTTTCAACAAATGAAACTGGCAGGACACAAGGCTTTGCAGCAGGAATAGCAGCCTAAACTGCTTATTAAGATAATCTCCTGCTGAGCATTTTACCTCTTATGTTGCTTTTTGTGTCCCCTACTGTCTTGTTTTTGTTAAGACACTTTTAACACATTCTGTACTGCCTGACAAAGAGAAAAAAGGGGGCAACCCAAACAATAAAAATACCTTCTAAAAGTAATAAAAGGCAGAGTAACTGTCTTTTTGTTTAAATAACAACACCTGGTATCTCCATCTAAAGCTTTCAGTTATTTCCAACTAGCATGAATAGGAAATAGTGTTCTGTACCCAGTGGGTGCTCAATACAGATCAGTGACTAACATACCCAGGTGACCCTTTATAGTGTCTTCATGGGCTTGCTTTTCTCTCGCAATGAGGCAACTATATACAGTACATGGGAGTCATAATTTGACCAATGGAGAATGAATCCATAAGTACTCTGTAAAGTTTATTTATTCCATATTAGAACATATATTCTTACACCAAAATCAAGATTACACTCCTTTGGACAGATCTTCACATGGACACATTCACCAGAGAACTGGTCCATGGCCATGCCCAGTGACCTCTTTCATCCTTCCTACACTGCTTTTATCCTGCTGCTGCTGCCACTACCAACACCCCACCACAGCACCCCACCATGGTGCTTTCCAGGGGTGGCAGTCAGTCCTCCTTCATTTGCTTCTTTACCTGAAAAGGGGTTATTCATTTGGTGCTTTTGAATGGTTACTGTTTCCTGTATAGGGCTACAATATATCCTTCTAATATATACGTGGCTGAGGTGCTGAAAGTAGGGGGGAACCGTACTATACCCACAAGAATGTTGAACATCTGTTTTATGTTGAACATATATTTTTTTAATATATCTCATGGACTTATGGATTTATCTACCTGCAGAGCTGAGTATGCTTACTTAAACAGATGAGTCTGGCACCACCTCTCCCCAACAGAAGTATCTTTGAGGCTATGTCAGATTCAGCCATTTGTCTACTTGCCAAAATATACTTTTTAGGTACCATAAGCTGTGGGAGAAATATTAATATTATTATAAATACTAACAATTTTGTTAGTAATAATGGTTAACATTTATGGAACTATAAGTTGTATGCAGTTTTTCTCCTATAATCTTCACGAAAATCCTACAATTATTAATCTTGTCAGATAGAAAATTGAGGGTGATAAAGGTTAAGAAAATTTTCCAGAGCTGTAAATATTAATTCTGTTGTATAACAACAAAATATAAGGTTTTTCACGCTAAATATTATGAGCTTATGAGCAAATGTTGCAATGAAGTTGGGTCTGGACCTACTAATCCACCATTTCTTGGCACTATGAAATTAAATAATAAATTGATATCAAATATGTCTGGGGAGTGCTGCATACCATATCCCTTGTTGGACACTCACAGTGTAAGTTAACATATTAATGGCTCTGAGAAATATTGTATAAAAGAAACTTGCTTATTTCATTCAGCATTTTCCAAGTTTGGGAAAGCAGTAAAAGGCTTTCAGAGACAGTTATGACTCCATAAATCTTTTATTAAAATTGAATAAATTAGCCTATTTTTATGGTTGATATATTTGAATTTTTAATAAGACCTTTTACAGAGTATGGGAATAATGTGGACAGCAGATAATGATTTTCCATACACTTCTCTTCATTTGGAGAAAACCTATACATTCATAGATTCCTTCCCTACAAAATCGCCAATAATTTGTTGCCACTGCTAGAATGTCAATAGAAAGTGTATCTGTTGGTCAGGTGCGGTGGCTCACGCCTGTAATCCCAGCACTTTGGGAGGCTGAGGTGGGTGGATCACTTGAGGTCAGGAGTTCAAGACCAGCCTGGCCAACATGGTGAAACCTTTGTCTCTACTAAAAATACGACAATTATCTGGGTGTGGTGGCAGGGGCCTGTAGTCCCAGTTACTTGGGAGGCTGAGGCATAAGAATTACTTGAACCCGGGAGGCAGAGGTTGTAGCGAGCCAAGATCACACCACTGCCCTCCAGCCTGGGTGACAGAGCGAGACTCCGTCTCAAAACAAACAAACAAACCCCAAAAGCCAAAAACAACAAAAAAAGAAAGTATATCTATTATTGAAGGTAGGTGAGAAAGGACATGTTCCTATATTTTCTATTTTTTTTGAACAATATACCTAACATATTAAAATCTAGTTTTCTCTGTTCCCATGACATCAAAAGTAAAATTACTTATCTGTATGTTTTGTATACCACCTCAGCTTCCAAAAATGATCTGAGATGACTAACAGACTAAAGTCCACTGTAATACTCCACGCATTTCAAATCGACACAATTTCTTATAAAGCAATGTATTTAGTCTACTGCATTATCATTATAAAATACATTTTAAACCACAGAAGAGAAAGTATGTAAAGTTATAATTTGAATTCTTTAAAAATAAATTTTAATTACATGTTTTTAAACTTATGCCCTTATATAATGGAGCCAGCATACCTCTCTTCATTTTTTTCCACTTTTATTTGGCTTTGATAGGCATATCTTCCTGTTTCTTCATAGGTGTTTTGATTAGTCCGTGTTGATTTTCCATTGACACGAAGTTTCGCAAGATCATTTCGGAGCCTTTCATTCTCATATTCCAGTTTATTAATAGATGTATGCCTTGAATGTTCCCTGTTAGTGAAGTCCATACTCTAGAGAATAAAATAAACTATCATTGAATAAACTGTCCCTTATAAGTAATGCATATTTTCTGTGTGTTTGGAGACTTGTGCTGGAAAGGCCCTTTCATCTGAGCTGAGTGATGTGACTCTACTCTTGCTCACTTTCTAAATGCTCCTTTCCACCTCCTCATCTCCTCACAACAAGCAGATACCCAGGGGTAGGTGCCGCCGAACACATCTGCAATGGTGTATGTATTGCATCATCCCCACTGTTGGATGGGCAATACAATATTGCCCATGCTCCAAAACAGAAAAGGTTTACTCTATGCATTATTACTCTCTGTAGCTACTTAGGTTGGTGCAAAAGTAATTGTGGTTTTTGCCATTACGTTCAATGGCAAAACCGCAATTACTTTTGCACCAACCTAATAGAACAAATTAGCTAGATTTCAAGTTCTTTTGTGTTCATAGACTCTACCTTCTAGTGTTGATTAATAATGGAACTAGAAATAACATGCATTAAATTTTAAAATTTTTTCTGATTAAAATAAGGCATGCATTAATATACGGGCACATAAAATCATGTCATTATAGAAAATACAAGGTATTAAGAAGAAAATAAATATTCCATACTACCAACATTCAGTGATAACTGCTATTAACATTTATATCTTTCTAGTCTTTTTTCTACATGGAAAATACAATGTCAACATAAACTATCAATATAATTATAACGTATGGCTACTTAGGAAAATATAATCAATATACAGTCATGTGTTGTTTAATGATGGGGATACATTCTGACAAATGCGACATTAGCTGATTTCATCATGTGATCATACAGTGTGCCTACACAAACCTAGACGGTATAGCCCACTACACACCTAGGCTGTAAGGTAAAGCCTATTGTTTCTAGGTTACAAACCTGTATAAGTATTTGTGTATCTGAACATACCTAAATGTAGAAATATTATAATCTTTTGGGACCACTGTCCTAATATGCAGTCCATTGTTGACTAAAACATTGCTATGGAGTACAAGACTGTATAAATATCAATATGAAATATAATATAGTCAGTATAAAATATATGCATACTTACAACATTGTAACTATAGTTACAAAACTGTAATGTATAAAATGCAGTAAAGTTTTAGAAACTGTATTTTCCCTTTAACATTGTATATTCTTAAAAAATAAGATTTTTAATGACTGCATCGGTAGAGGTACAAATAAATTCATTTAGCCATTCTTCTATTGTTGAATTTAGTTTTTTTTTTTTCCAAGATAATTAACACTGTGTTGATTTCCTTATACACAAATCTTGGTCTATATTTCTCTAGCTGGAGTCCAAGGAGTGGGACCACTGGGTTAAATTGTGTGAATGTTGTTGAAGACCTTGATTAAAAAGTGTCTATCCCCCTCCCCTATAAATCTCATAAATTTCCATCTCATAAATTCCCACCACTAATGTATTAAGAAGCCTGTCTTACTACACTCCCAACCATTCAATATTACCATTTGGTTAAATCTGCCAACTTGATAGATAAAAATAGTAACTTTTATTTAGCTATTAGTGAAGTAGAATATATACGCTTCCTGGCAAATTTTACTCTATCTTTTGTCAATTGTCTATTTGTGTCCTTAGCTTATTTTTTCATTAGGGTGTGTGTGTTATTTGTGTCCTTAGCTTATTTTTTCATTAGGGTGTCTGTGTTTTTCTTACTAATTTGAAGGAATTTTTTTTTTTTTTTTTTTACATTAGGTGTACTAATCCTAAGTTACTGTTTCTTAAGTTAGTTGAAAATATGTTTCCATGTGATTTTAAGTTTTAATTTTAGTGCATGATATATTTTATACAGAAAGCTTTTTTAATTTTTATTTAATGAAATCTGTCAGTCTTTTTCCCTTGTGACTTCTTCTTTGCTTTTATATTTTTTCTTTTCATTCTGAAAGCTATAAATATTCACTTGTATTTTCTTCTATTTGTTTTATAATTTCATTATTTTACATTTAATTAGTTATTTGGGATTAATTTTGTACAAAATGAGAAAAGACTAAAAATTAATAATTATTGTAATTATTCTAATCACACATTGATTAAAACATCTATTCTCCACTGTTGGATGATTCAGCAAGTTATATACTAAATATAGATTGGGGTCTGATTCTGGATTATTCTATCTTACTGCTTTTACAGTCGAGATTGTGCCAGTTCTACACAATTCTGAGCAATGTATCTTCCTTACAAAGTTTCACTATCTGGTAGGAGACACCCAATTTTAGTGTGTTCTCAGAATAGAATATGAAGTATGTCTAAATTACAAAATGAGAGGTTTAGAGTAAGAATAAAGATTGCTGAGGCCATTTCAATTAAACATAAGAAGTTTCATAAGGAGTATCTAAACTTTTCACAAAATTTTAAAAAATAGGATATATTCTAACAATAAAAACTCATGAAAAATGCTCTAAATGATTTTACACAGTTCTTTCTAGTCCTCAGATTCAAATATGCATGAGTTGTGTAGCTGCTGTTTAAACAATAGTTCTATGTTTTCAAAAGGGTAACATTTTAGCATACAAAAATAACTTGAGTAAAACATCTTTTTTGAAGCTCCAAATATCTATGGTTCAAAGTCTATAAGACGATAAATAATTACAGCTTAGAACTAAGTTCCTAAGCTTAAAGCTCTGAGTGCCTTTCATAAAGGCATCCCATAAAATCATCCTTAGTTTTCTAAAATTTTTGACTAATTGCACATTGAAAATTATTTACATCCTATCATATTAGTATCAAGAGTAATAAATAAGTGCAGAAATACATACATATTAGGTATTAAAAATGTTTACGTATTTCTTTTTTTGCTTCAAAGGCCAAATCTGCTTACTACATTTTCCACTTACTACTTATTATAGAAGTTTAGCAAATATGTAGCAAAGTCTCATTTTTGAATGGAAGAAAATGCTTCAGGAGGGCAACATTTTCCACAAATCAATACAGGAAAAGTTATATGCTTCTAAAGCTACTGACTCAGGTGCTCTTTGAAAAAGGAAGGCCATTGAAGGTATTTCTCTGCTTATTAAGCTCTGCCTTTAGGATTTCTCAACATTTATTCTTTTTGAGAGATGCAAATGCAGAGAATAGAGCAATCTGTAGTCTCTTGCTTTAGAAGAGGAAAGAATGCTTATTCTAAAATTAGAGTAGATCTGTGATAAAAATAAAGGAGGTAGGGTCTTATAAATTTTTTCTCTCCATAAGGAAAAAAAATCATATGGGCAGACCTGATTGAAAAGCGTTGAGAATAAGACTCATAATTTGACTCTTAATAAGATATCTTCCAAAGTATAGAATTCTTGGTGGTCCGCTGATCAGTTAAAATTTTGTTTAAGCATTTCCTATAAAATTAGATTTAGTCTGTGATTATTTTTGATCCAATGTTGGTTTAAAGTAATTAAGAATAATAATAACGATTTTTAAAACCCTGCGATTTCCTAAATGTACCACAATTAAATAAGTGTTGTGAGCATGAACTAAAAGAATTACACAGGTAATGTATTTGCATGTTTTACATTTAAGAGTACATTTTCCCTCACAAAACCCTTTTTCGGAGCCATTTAATTTAATTTAATGTTTTTCTTAAATGCATTTCTAATGATTTCAGGAATATATCCACCCCCACCTCTTGTGTTTCTGATGGATTCTTTTTATCCATCTGTTACTCAACTTTTGTTTCTTTCAAAATTTTAGAGTTTGATAATTTTAATCAATTTCTTTATTATTGAAATGGCAAAACCTCCTGGCGCTCATTTACTTCAACAGATTAGGATGAGGCTGGCTGAATTACTGAAGTGTCTAAATAATACTTTGCATGTATGGTTTTTTTTTTTTTACTTTTGTATATTTAACAGTAACAATTAGGCTAACAAAGCATTTTGACAGAAAGACTGGCTTTAATGATGTTTTGTAGTTAGCATGTTAATTTCAGTACGTGAATGGATGTTTTAATCATTGTAAGGGTACTAATTTTTTACGTTACTATTTTATTTAGAAAACTTTACAGATAGTGAAAAGCAAATTAGTCTTTTTTTTTTTTTTTTTTTTTTGAGATGGAGTCTAGCTCTGTCTCCCAGGCTGGAGTGCAGTGGCCGGATCTCCATTCACTGCAAGCTCTGCCTCCCGGGTTCACGCCGTTTTCCTGCCTCAGCCTCCCGAGTAGCTGGGACTACTGGCGCCCGCCACCACGCCCGACTAATTTTTTGTATTTTTTAGCAGAGACGGGGTTTCACCGTGTTAGCCAGGATGGTCTTGATCTCCTGACCTTGTGATCCGCCCGCCTCGGCCTCTCAAAGTGCTGGGATTACAGGCTTGAGCCACCACTTCCGGCCGCAAATTAGTCTTCTTAAAAATTACCACAGATTCTGAGTTCTAATTAAATATGATTTTATTATAACTTTCTTAAATAAAAGGAAACTTAATAATACAATTATAGGACTAAGTAAATAAGGCATTAAAAAACCTACCACAATAAGCTTGATTATTTGTTAGCTACCCAAGAGTAGAATAAGAGAAAACCCTTCACTTTTCTCCACTATTCTACATTCCTCACTGAGACCCAGGAAACCTTAGATACCAGGTAGTTAGTCCCATCAGTACATTCCCCAAATGGGAGCTGCATTCCTAGAACTGGGCGACTGCCTGTGGTAAACTTTCATTCCCTAAGTGGAAATGAGCAGGGAGCTTCATAGATTGTCAAGCAGAAAGATTCTCAAAGCTATATTTGGTTAGAAATAACCAACCTGAAGATCAGTAATTTCCTTGTAGAAAGGAAAAAGTTATTATTTTAATATTTCCCAAATAGCACATATTTTAGAAGACAAAAATAATGATGTAAATATCCTGAGGCAAAATTTCAGCACCAATTATTTAATTCTATATTTATGCATTCCAATTATTTCAGAAAGAATTAACTGATTATGGATTTTTTCCTAATTATGAAATTTTAATATATAATAGATATGATAAAGTTTTCTT